GTTCCTCGTGGCGTTCCTTAATGCACGTGATTCGCATAATAGAACTCTCAAAGTTTATAAACGAAATCGATCTGCATACTTCGAGGATCTAACGCGATCGAAAGAACCCAGCTTCCAACATTTTTTTCTACGATTCGAGTCTGAATGTCTAAATTATTTTGTCTTAGTAGAACTCGTCGTTTATATAAATTTCATCAACCTGAAATTAATTCCTTTTCTTAGTTCCTGTTTCACAAATTAGTGAACCCAATGATGTGTAAAAGCGATTATGGAAATTTTGTTCGCATGCAAGCTTGTGAAGAATGAACGGGTAATTGGCATTTTAACCGCAGTTATTCAGATTTCACGATACACCGAGTATTTTGCATCGTATTAAAGCATAGAGTCGCGGCGATCGAAAGATCTCGCGGATTGATGACTTAGTTCGTTGAACCAATACAATGGTTTCCGGTTGCGACCCAATGCCCACGTGGTAGATATACCCAGTCGACATTTGCATGGAACAATATTATTCTACCCTCAAAATCGCTAACTGGCTCATTGGCATGCAAACGCGGCTACGAACGGTTGTGGTTCAGCCGGTCGTAATACCCCTAAACGTTAGCCAGAATTACGATAATTTATACTTTTAGATCCACATAAATTCGCGTGAACAACCGCGGCAAAGACCGTTGACCAATCATGGAGTTATAATGGTTGTCGCGTGCGCCGTGTGACTGATATTTTAACCCTTTAATTTATATAATCGTAAGACAAATATAATATTGAAATTTCATTCGAAATTTGATTTGAAATTAAGAGTGATCGGAAATAAATTATTATTCTTTCTTAACGACCAAGTGCAATTTTTACCATATATTTACCAGCTAAAAAATTAATTTGGTAGATTAAATGTTTTGGGGATCCAGTATGTCCAATAGTGATCGTGGAGTACATTCAAATTCATAGAGGAACAACTGAAAGTACGTATCCAGCGCGATCGAATTGGACCGGTGCGGATTGTTTTCTTCCTCGAGTTCGGTTTTCAACCCGGAAAAACGCTTAATGGGCGGCGCACCCCTGACAGACGAGCAGCCTCTAATTAATGAATACTCGACGGAGCTGGCGTAATTAACGACGTTAACACTACTAGCGAATGTTATCGAAATTGGCACGAAATTTTCTTTCCAGACGCAAACCATGAGTGCATCTTGTGGCATATCTTGACACACATCTTTTATATTCAATGCGCATTTTGGATCAAATTCAGAATTGATTACGCCAATTCAACGCAAATTTGTACCAAGAGCGATTAACAAACAAATACGTGCATATAACACTAAACCAAAACATAGAAATTAACAGATGAAATGAGAATTCGATATATGAAAAATGATTTATACTACAGAAAAGATCGTTGAATTCATGTTAGTATTTACAAGAACTTCTTTTGAAGTGGATTGCGGTTTGAATCTTTCTTAGCATATTCTGAACACATTTTTAATTTTCATTACTTTTTTAAGACTTGTTAATGTTTTGGCAAAGTAATTTTAATTTCATTGAGAATCGCTATTTTTTCAATTTTAAACTATGCATCTAACAAATAATAATTTCGTCACGTGTGACACGTAAAATATTTATCCAGTCCCATCGTATTTCATCGAAAATGTCTTTCCAAAGGTATAAAAAACAATCCGTTTGAATATGAATGTAAATCGCGTATTCTTTTCGTGCTTCGATATTAAAATTCGTAATATTTACTGTGAAACTGAAGCTCCATGAATACTCGTTACATCTATTGTCTGCCAATTTCCCAATTTTCATTAATATTTTCATAAACCTTTGGAACAACTCGTTATTGCAGAATTTATTCTAGACATATTCATTGTACATTTTTGTCGAAATTCACGTTTTCGACCTATTTCTGTTTGCGGTATCAATTTCACTTCATTTATTCTTTCCAAAGAAATTTCCAAAGAAGATTTCGAACGGAGATCGAAACTTTAATTAAGGGATCACCATCTAAAAATATCAGTTTCTTATCCTAGAACCATTAATCTTCTCTTCAACGTTTATATCTTCACGGTGACTAAATTACTTTCATCAGCAGCGAATTACACAAAGTTTCCATTGGAATCCATCAATGGAAATACGTTTTGCGCTAAATATATATCTTGCCTACGAAACTGGCTTTCGATTTATCTAAAAATACTATTTCGTTGATAGAAAAACGATTGGTGTCCATTTTTACAATTCTAGATTCGTTCGTAAGTTAGTTTGATATCGATTAATAGAATCAGCTAATGAATTCTGATTTACGTAGAGAATTAAATGGGAGTTCGAAATTTGTATTCGATACTCGTGACTAATATTTGCCCAAGTCCGCTCGTGTGATCCAGGCGTTGTAGATCTTCGGGAATCAGGGGTTAAAATTGCTCCGATATCGGACCACTCTCGCGTGTTTCACTTCACACATGCTTTTCCGCGCAAGTAGGATTTACATATAGATTAGGCGTTCGTGGGACACGGGAAATAGAAACGTGGCACGGCTATCAATGCGAGCCGTACGACGATTTTGGCTCGATTTCAAGCGACCGCCAGGACGAACGTATTCTCACACTCGTACATTTCCTTCTGTTCCAACCTATCGCGTGACAACTTAAGACAGGGGTGCATAACTTGTGGCCCTTGAACCACATATGGTCCACAGAATTTAACCCTTAAGTACCAAAATGTGTTCAAGATTTATTCAAAAGAAATTAGATTTTATCCTTTGCACGAATCTTCAATTTATAATCTGAATCGTGTCTGTTCACATTCAAGCAACATTTCACGTTAGAAATAATTGCATAAAATTACGTCTATCGAACTCTAGATAATTGGTGGCAAAAATTCAGTGCTGAAAAAAATAAAAAATTTCAATCAACTACAAGTACAGAATTGATTCTGCTCGTGGATTGATAATAATAATAAGTGAATTTACAAATATTTCATAATGTAGGAGATTTGTATTGAATGTTTGTGCCGCGGTGTAGTTTTGTTGAATGGTAATTTATGTACAAAAGGGTTGAAAGTGCTTTGTTCGTGAAGGAATGGGTAACTAGGGAGAACAGAAACGAGCGGTTGTGAACGACAGACGTGATTCTTATATGATATTAATTTGTGTAAGAAGATTGTGTGCTTGGTGTGTTTCAAATACAATTCTCTTTGTTAAATTCTACAGTAATGCGATTCAGAATTTCTTGAACTGCGTTGCGTAACGATTTAAAATTCTTGTATTGAATAGAGTGAAAATTCACGAAGGTAATATTGGTAGATCGAATTTATTGGGAGTTGTGCACCCCTGGCGTAGGGGTTTCGGTCGCGTGCACGCACGTATCTGCGTATTCCCGTGTGAAACGTGTGCCCCCCCACACACGGAGGAAGACCTCCCGCAGCTTGACCCGCCATCGCTGCAAGAATCCGAACGGTCGTCCACGCCATCAGCCATGCTCTTCAGACACTGGCGTCGTTCCAACGAATTATCCCGACACTTTGCAGCGTACCAGCTCGCACGACATGCCGTATCGTGTGTCGATGCAGCTGCACGGGGCTGTCGCCACTTTTCTCCAGTTTCTTCTTCCGCTTTCGAGTCAACCGACGTGACTTTTCTCTCATTACGGAGATTGCAAAGGGCTGGCAAAAACTCGACGAACGTGACGACTGGAAACTCGATAGCGTAAAGAACCAGTTCTCCTTCTTACCGCATTCGAGAGTTAGTTCTGTTTCTCTTTTACGGTTTATCGGATACCAAGAACTGTACACGCCATTGCATAATTCTACAGTCTTACTGGAACTCTAGACATTTACAAAATCTGCGATATCGAATTCGAATCCTATTTGTCACTTCAGAAACGACGCAGCGTCAAAATCTAGACGTTCGAGACGCTGGCGCTGGAGGGAAAAATAGCTTTAGGAAAACAGCAGCTGTTGCTGGTAATACCTAGGTGCAACGTTTAGGAATCGAGTTTCCCGACAAAGGTATTCGAGACTCATCAAGACTTTCGAACAAAGTCAAGATTTTCGAGATTATTCGGGACTCTCGAGAACTCTTCTAGTTTCGAATACTATTCGAAGCGCTTCGGAAGTTCAGGGTCTGGAATGTTTCCAATCTTTTCAAGACCGAGGCTCGAACGCCCGAACTTTACGGACGCGCAAAGTTCGTCGAAACAAAGATACAAATCTTCGTCGTGCCTTCATGATTTATTTCTTCGTCGTTGTGGTTTATAACGCCGTGGCAATAAATCGTGCCCGTCGAAGAGCAATGGAAAATAAATCCGGAATTAATTCTGGGAGCGGGATTATGCTGTCGCGGCTGGCCCGGTACTTTCGGTGACGCGTGTAACTGAGACCTTGATGAAGTTGCTTCAAGAACTAGTTGAATTTGGTCGTATAATTGAGGCAGTTTGCAGAACTTTGCGGTTTGAAACGTGTCCAGACAGCAGTCGGAACTTGGAGCACCAAGGTCAGGATCCGACCACAAATTCAAACGTCCTGTGCAAATAGCTTGTTTCAGGCGATAGAAGGGCGACCTATGTGTCGCAATCAAGGGACCAGTTTGATGGAATGTGTCATCGTCAATGTTTGCTTCTTGCGCGTTGCGAAATTTCGACAAGTTCGCGTCTCGTATCAGAATTGCAAATTAACTTCTTCGTTCAGCTGTAATGTCGACAAATATAATCCTCGGCACTTTTATTTATACTTAATTACTTTCGAATATGCTATTTTTTCGCAAATTCAATTCTCTCTGTTCCAATCATTGAAATTTTACCAAAAACACATTTCAGTTGAACAATGTTCGTCGTTTAATAACGTTCGTTACAATCATTTGACGCATTTCTAAAATTGATCACCGTTACCAGCGGAACAGTAATTTATTTTTCAACATTACAGTAAATATTAATAAATATTCTGGATATTACATACGTCACGTTTCGTCAGCAACATTGTGTAATCCGGAACTTTGTTGTCCTTTGTTACAGGCGCTTCTGCAAGCGCACGACGTTGCTGGACACGAAGTTTACGGCGAAGAAGCCACCAGGGTGACGCCGCCGCCTCTGCTTCCTTATTTGAACGGTGGCGACGATCTCGAGGGACAAAACGGTGACCTGGACCTCGAAAACGTCACGCGCGTCAGGCTGGTCCAGTTCCAGAAGAACACCGATGAGCCAATGGTAAGACGATAACTAGAAAAATTAACAGCGACGAATATACATATAGGGTGTTCAGCCACCCATAGGACAAATTTTAATGGGAGATTCTAGAGGCCAAAATAAGACGAAAATCAAGAATTGCAATTTGTTGATTGTTAAAAAGTTATGGAAACATTTCCGGCCACACAGTATATTTTCAGTAAAGAATTTTTTTCTCGAAAGTTCGTAGGATTTCGGGGGTGTGTGTATTCACCAAAAATGATTGTAATTGACCTCCGCAACCAAAAATAATTTTTCCAGAACGATTTGAAATTTTTTAAATTTGTCGACAACTTTATCCACCTACTCGAATTTTTTTCACGAAAATGCGTAGGGTTTCGGGAATGTGTCTATTCACGAAAAATGATTGTAATTGACCCCTACAGCAAAAAATAATTTTTCCAGAACGATTTGAAATTTTTTAATTTCGCCGCAAAAGTCCACCTTCCTGAATTTTTTTTTCAAGAATGGTTAGGATTTCGGGGGTATGTCTACTCACCAAAAATGATTGTAATTGACCCCCGCAAACGAAAATAATTTTTTCAAATTGATTTAAAATTTTTTAATAACTTTTTAATGAAGCATCAATTAAGAAATTGTTATCCTTGATTTATTTTGGCCTCTAGAATGTCCCATTAAAATTTTTCCAAGACGTGGCGAACACCCTGTATAGTGAAACGTCGCTTCAACCCTTAAATGCTTCGTGTTGTCCTTTTGACATCTCAATATTTTGCACAACAGAAAAATAATAATTATTACACGATATACTAGGGTCAATTTATGAAGTATTGACGTAAACGGATTTGTAGTGCCTATGCTTTGCCAGAAACCTATCTTTTGATTTATTATATTTGCGCTTCGTAACCTAAATGTGTCGGTAGCGTTAGTCGAAACTACTGCATCATGTTATATTTGGTAATACGAAAATTCATATGGCTGCAAGAGTCATATATAAATATTTCTGGAAAGTTACATATTCATACGTTCATTCATTTCCTTTAAAAGAATGATTCTGTTAAGTTTCATAATTTTTAACGTTTCATACCGGAATCGCAGCTTAAATTCTCTGAATATTCAGACAATTTCGAAATCTCGTGTGTGTTATTAGAGTATTCTATCCGTATTACAAAATCCCGTTTTTGTTAGAACTTTAGCACAATTCGAGAGAGTAAAATCATGATATGATAAAACTGGAAATTTCTTTCCGCGAAATATTTCAATAACGATAATAGGTAGCAAAAAAATGTTTCAATAAAAATTATATTGTTCTGTAATTTCTTTAAAATTTCGAACGAACGATTGACGAAAAATTCATGTTTTTCGGCTTGTTTTTATTTCGATAATTATTCATACATGGTGTTTTACATGGAAAAAAGGATGGAATTTTTTTTTAAATTCATTTTCGATATTGCTCCCCATTCTGGAGAGAATCCGCGAGAGAAATTGCATTTTTTCAGCGGGTTATTCACCCCTTTATGAAAAAGTGGTTTTGTGATATGGCGGTATTGCTCTGCACGTGTTTCAAATTGATCGAATTCAGGAATATTGCTTATAAGTGTGATAAGCATTGATTATAGAAGTTTGAAATATTAAAAATGAATGTTGTAAAAGCGAAATTTTGTATCGATGTATAAACATTTTATACTCCGTCAAAGACCGCGAAGACTTTGATTAAAAAACTTCCCTGTATCTCCAATATGTTTCAGGATTGGAAGGGTAAAACTTTCGAAGGTAGTTTCAGCCCCTAAACTTGAGTTCCCGCAGTTAGAGAAATACGTTTTCTTTATTTTTGGCAGCTCAGCAAACGTAAAAAGTTTCACAATAATCGGTGTCGGACGTGTCGTGGATATTCCTTAGTAAAACGCGTAACTTCTTGTTTCAGAAATTGTTGGTTATACTACTTGAACTGACAAACTTTATCTAAACTCATACGAAGGGAAAGTTAACTATCACTTGCTTTTCTAAGAGAAATTCGTTGGCCATTCGTTTCTGTGTTTGTCTTTTACACCTTTTATGTACCTCGAATACAGAATACAACGAAAATAGAACACGGTGAAAGTGTGAAATTGGTTGTTTGCTTACAGGGAATCACGCTAAAAATGAACGAGGATGGAAAATGCGTGGTGGCAAGAATTATGCACGGTGGCATGATACATAGACAAGCGACTCTCCATGTTGGTGACGAGATCAGAGAAATTAACGGAATACCAGTGGCCAATCAATCTGTCAATGCCTTGCAAAAGATACTCGTGAGTATAATTAATCATTCAAACCTATATAGAATAAGCTCATAATTAAAAAATCAGTCATAGACTTATTCCCCGTGCAAAAATACATCAATAATATGCAATACAACTTTTTGTTACGAGGTTCCTATTCCGAGTAAATCAAATTCCAAAATTTTTAGTGCACGTGTTTCTCAAAATTAATATTTTTCACATATTCACGTTTAAATAAACGTAATCAACGTGCCACCGCCAGTATCTACAAATATCAATGCAAGTAGTAATATCTGGTATTTGTCAGGCAACTTACCCACGAATTTTCAAAATTAATTTTCTCGGAAATGAACGCTCGTATCAGAAAAGTTTATTCCACATTTTCTATGCACTTTTTCACGAAAAATCGCAACTATTTGTTTGCACCATGAATTCATCCCCATTTTGCACATTTGTTATAAATAAAGACAGTACTTTCGACCAAGACTTTTTCTACGTGAAATTTCTTCGTGTGGCTTTTCGTCGTTAAGGATTACGCTTTTTGTTGCAGCGTGAAGCACGAGGATCAGTGACCTTCAAAATCGTGCCATCTTACAGGAGCGCGCCACCACCCTGTGAGGTACAAGTAAGCCCTAATACCCAAACCCAATCCCAGAACCTCACTACAGTAAATAAAGCCACTACCGCGGCAGTGTCCACGAGCACCAGCTCGGACACTGCTGCAAGTAAGTCCGGGAAATCAGTGAAAACCTCTTCGGCTACGACGAGCAAGGAGAAGAGTAAGTCTAAATCTTCTAAAAACAAAAGCGCCGCCTCTTCAACCGAGAGCACGCCCAGACGGCGGTTAAACCCGTTATCGGCGCTCAGGTCGCGTAAATCATAGACGACATACTTTGATAGGTCGCTGATAGGTCTTCATAGTTTTCCTGGCGCCAGTTTAAGTAGAAATTGACATTGATTTGTTGGGTAGGCTTTGTCGTTCTTCTTTACGCCCTTGGATGGTTATGAATAATTTTTAGCTGGAATGCTTTGTTAGACACATACACCGGTCCCGAGGTTTCGGTTAGGGTATCTAATGCAATTTCAATTTTTTTAACGACATTAATGCTTGGTTACAAACTGAGATATATCGATCCTTTTTTTTCTTACGAAGCTTTCTGACAATCTTGGCAAACGTACCGAACATTCGCAAATAAATGGTAGTGCATAGCCGTGTCGTTGTTATCGATTAGAATACGAAGTTCGAAAATAGTTGTATTGGAGACGTATTAATTGTTTTATGATGAATATTCTATTATTTGGAAACATTTAATGAATACTTACGATTATTTCTCAAACTATGGAAGATTTCAAAATCGTATAATTTCTAATACTATTTTTGTATCTTCGATAATTCCAGAAACAATTGTACGTGTATAGTTAAACGAGACATGCTATATATCGAATGTTTTCGTCAATATAACTCTAAATAAATAATATAATAGCTGAATAGCGAGGTATATAAAATATCTTTTTTTTGTAGAATTTTTTTTCGTTCACTTGGAATTCCGGTTTAAAAGAAAATTTAATTATTTATTTAAGTGTAATACAAGACACTTTACACTCACTGATGTACACAATATTTTAAAATTTAGGTTTCTTATTATTTTTTATTTTACGTAAATTTTATTCTTGCCAACGAATCGTGTACATAATGCTTTTCTAGTCGAGTTCTATACAGACTCACTTTTGATTTTAATTCTTAGAAGACTACATAGGATAATAATGTACAATTCATTGACAACAATATTAATATTGTCGGTTCTATCATAGCGCACTGTGATCTATAAACAATGTACTCTTATAGTCTGCTTAAAAATCTTGAGAGCATGCAGTGTAAGTTAATAGCAACAGTTTAAACAAAATTAGAGTAACTTGGAAATATTCCTCAGGCTTCTACTTGCAACTAAACTTGCCACAGAAAGATATCTCTGTTAGTATTAATATTTTTCTTATCCTCCGAAATATGGTCGTTATTTGGATGATCTATAGATGCTTCAGCTTGCGGAATGATCAAACGCGGTATAAAAGATCCGCTAGTAGTATAGAATAACAATATTCAAAGTCCTATAAACATATTTATCGTTTGTTAAACTGTTAAAATATCCATTTCTCCAATTTCCGTATACTCGATCTTTGGTCTCTAGTCTTTACTACTTCCCAATGATATTATATAACCTGAGATTATATAACAAACTAAAGTTTAAGCAAATTCTATTACACACATGCCTGGAAATGCTTCCTTAGAGGGTCATTGTTGAAGAAACTATTTTCCCTAAATATTATCCTTATTAATTGATATTTCTAATTTATTTATTACGCGATACTTTGCGTACAACCTTCGACAAGACTTAAAAATTATCTAGTCGTCTTTTAACAAAGACCAAGCATGAAATTTCACTTTATGGGTGGATCACTTACTTCAGATACGCTCAATTTCTCATATGTACCCGATTCTCGAGAAGCTTCTGTAGCGTTTCATGCATCTACTCTTCTATTTGGCGACCGAGAACGATTCGAATGGAATTACATTCGAACTCAGCAAGTCGTCTAAATAGTTCTGTAAAATATACATAGTTTCACACAAAGTTTCACGGAAAGTTTAACACAGAAGGAGACGATTCGTACGATGGCTTACCGTGTACTTTGCGAGGAGCCTTGATGTTTTGATTCATGGCGGAATATATTTGGTGTCACGATGTAACGTAGTTAAACAATTAGATAGCGTCTCCGAACTGTCGATAGTTCAACTTATAAGCCCCGACTCCGAGTCCCCGAATTTAAGATCCAAGTTTCGATTGTAAAATCTATCCCAGTTATCGTTCCGAACTTCAGCCGCGTCGGTGTCGAGCTTTGCATTTGGAATTTAGTCAGTTTCAAACTGTTCCTTTGTACAGATATCGGGGAACGTTTACCTAAACAATTAGATTCGTTAGCATTATTGATAGAATAGCCGTGCATTCGAATTTTCTATTCACCAACGAGTTCCATGGTAATTGTATCCTTGCTGGCCATTGTCTTTGCGTCGAATTTTAGACGACGTGCTTTCTAATACTATTTTCCAATTCTACAATTTTAGCAACGTTCAACGTCGTGTACCTGTCTATTAAACTCTAGCTCATTGGCCTTTTTTATAATTATTGGAAATTAACGCTTAGACCTGGAGGAATTGCAATCTAATTTTGAGATTTAGTTCGGTGCTCTGCAATTGTTAAAATTTCTATTAGCGAAACTTCAACTAGCGTAATCGAACGATGCAAGACTTGCCGAAATAGATACTGTTATACAGGGTGTTCGACCACTCATGGGAAAAATTTTAATGGGAGATTCTAGAGGGCAAACTATGACGAAAATCAAGGATACTAATTTCTTGATTAAGGCTTCGTTAACAAGTTATTAACGTTAAAGTAAGAGTAGACCTTACATCCAATGTATTTTTTTGCCCCATTTTTTTAGGGCCCTAGAGCCCCATTAATACGCATTATTTAAATTTTGAATCATTAAAATCCTTCAATCCGTCCAGAAGTTATGATTTTTTAAAGATACGCATCAAATTTCAGTGAAACATGTCAACGTATGGTCAGACATATTTTCGTTAAAGAATTTTTTTCTCGAAAGTGCATAGGAATTCAGGGGTATATGTATCCACAAAAAATGATTGTAATTGACCCCCGCAACTGAAAATAATTTTTTTTAGAACGATTTCAAATTTTTTTTTCGCCGAAATGCGTTCCTTCCTGAATTTTTTTCTCGAAAGTGCGTAGAATTTCGCGAGTATGTCTATTCACCAAAAATGTTTACAATTTATCCCTGCAACTGAAAATAATTTTTCCAGAACGATTTGAACAAATTTTTTTTGTCGAAAAATTTAGTCAGCTATTTGAATTTTTTCTCGATAGTGGGTAGGATTTCGGGAGCATGTCTATTGACCAAAAGTGGTAGTAATTGAACCTCGCAAATAAAAATAATTTTTCCCGAATGATTTGAAATTTTTTAATACCTTTTTAACGAAGCCTCAATCAAAAAATTGATATTCTTGATTTTCGTCTTTTTTTAGCCTCTAGAATCTCCCATTAAAATTTTTCCCAAGGGTGGCCGAACACCCTGTGTAAAATGCTTTGGGAATTTACGAGTAGATTAAGATGTGTTTACAATTATGTAGATTAAGTGTTCTCAGATATATGAATAAAATTGCCTAAATTTAAGGGAACGAAAATCTTGATTGTACGTTCATACAGAATGTTTATTAACGCGTGGATATGTTGTATAAATGTAGTTGAAGCTTTATAGCCCACGTGCGTACATCGTGCAATATTTAGAACACTATGCAGTGGCTCTTGCTAATGATTTTGTAAAAAATTGCATTAGGATGGTGTTGTTAATCTTGAAGTCAAGATTCTATTAAATTGTCTAGCTATTGCTTCTATACTATTAAATAAACGGGTAGTTATATAGGTATTATAGGTCTACTGCTACAAGGGATTGTTGGAACATAAGACTATAAATCTATCATATAGTTTCTTTTTTCCTTTTGTGTTCTTGAGTTAGTCTCGTATTCTCCATCTATTAAGAAAAATTTACATAGTATCTGACAGTAATTTCTGACTTTCTCATCAACACGTGTTCCCAAATACGCTCATTATTATCTACGACATTGTTAGTTCGTTCTATCATCTTCTTACAAGGTGACTTGTTTTTATAAAAGTTTTGTAGGCGGAACGTAAATAGTCTAGGATGATGTAGACTCTGTGACTGATTTAAAGGATATAAATCCCTTTCGAAAACCCTCTCCGTCCAGATGTTTGTGTGACGACTTGAAACGGGGCGATATCTTGGCGCCAGGATACAAAATATTAATTTCCGCAACAATTCCTAAATTCGTTCGTTGCATCGTTCTTCTACGATCACAGCAATCGTGACATCCTGTGCTCTCTAGTAAAAGGAACCTTTGTTAATTCGTACGAGTAGGTTTGTCTTTCGAAATTGTCTTCTCTTATTAATTTATACCAATCGATGTGGAAGGAGTATTAGAAGTTACTTTTGACTGAGATTTGTAGTTTCATTGGCATCAGAACTCCATGGCTTTCGGTATCCCGTAATCATCCTAAAATAGAATACGAGTAAATAGGGTATTTCATGAATCTCGATAAGTAATACGAAATGATGGAATTCTATCGAATGTCGATGTACTGGGAATTGAATTACCGAAAAACCCGAAACTGGGTCAACGCAGATAGTTTATCCGAGGGTCTCTTTAATTTCGATGTCTCGGAAGATGAAGGATCCCACGATTCGCTTCATCGAGACGACGATCGAAGAATTAAACACCAATTTACATTGTAAGCGATAGTTATCTCATTATGCGTTTTCATTTATAAAGTTATTGTGTGCAGTATTGGTTTCTTACGATAACGATACTAATTCATTTACTAATAAAACAGCAGCCTAAGCAACATGGCAACATTGAAATGTATTTCTACTTAATTATTTAAATACGTGTCTATTTAAACCCAATTTTTCCGTTGATAACTATATATATATACTCACTTGAAATTGTTTCAACGCGAAGTTAATTATCGT